TTCAATTACATTCAAAAATCGGCAATCTACAGGTGAAGATATAGATGATACGTCCAGATAATGGCAGGTGATATGATACCATACCATATTACTCGCCCAGATAATTGTAGATAAAGATTACTTACAGTAGATCTTGACGAAGGCAGCTTAATTCACTGAATTTAATACTTTTCTGGTACTAAACACTGAATTTAATAACCATTAAAGGTAGTGTAGAACTATATATAATTTAATATAGTCTAAGGAAAGAAAACTCAAATAAAAAGTGTACACACACTTAGAAAATAATTCACAAAGACGATACGATAAGAAATAAAGTGAGCAAAGCGTAACACGAGATATTGGCCTTAACTCAACAACGGCCCACCAAAAAGTCTCACCAGATATTACCTCACTCAACAACTGCCCACCAAGTAAATTGGTTCCACTAAAAATTTCACCAACTGTTCCTGAAAAAGGAAGAAGAAAATATTCTCCCACTCAAGAATGATAGGACAGTTGTATGTGTTTCTCAGAAGGTAAGGCCTTAACGACTATTCGAAAGTTTGAGGTAAAATAATCGGTATTAACAATTGGACATAAGAAACAGACAATACTTGGGATTAAGTTATTGTCAAAAGATATGGGCCTTCGACGAAAATTACCAATTTATGAAAAGGAAACTGCATACCGGAAAGCATTTGTTCTTTTCATACAGAGTATTAAGACGGAAGGATTAAAAACCTTTCTTAATTAGGGAATTCCATTTTAGCTTGGTATCTACAATATTATCTTCCTATCGTAAACACGGGGATTCCTAATCATCGGCGTATCGCACGGGGGTATAAGGAATTAAAAATAATTTGATATATTAATAATAAAAAAAAATGTTACAATTTTTATAGGAAGCATGTCAGGTCCAGGGCTTTTCCCACTCCTCGTTGATTGGAATGCGTGCAACGTTTCTTCTTTTGTAATACATGGACCTATTTGTTCTGACGTAAGTTCTATGTGCTACAGATCTCCTCTTTCATCATCGAACAATTCGTCGATATATTCTGCCCATCTTTATACTTTCTTGTCTGTATATATTATAGAAGTCCCATGTCTATCCACAATTGCACGAGTGGAATTTTGTTTTCTTAGTCCTGTCAGTTCTTTAACTTTATTGTGTAGATTAAAAAGATTATATTTATTTTGAAGGTCTTCGATCTCTTTGCAATTTTCTTCAAAGTATTTTTCTGTTGACTGCTTTATCATCTTTCTGATCTCGTGGTTTATCTCTATCTCTCGTTTATTGTTGTCTTTGTTTTCAAATTGTCCCGGTTGTTCCATCATATTGAGTATTTTGTCAATTATCCATTCTGCTTTTCCCTTTTTTTCCATTCTAAAATAGTCATTTGTAATCTAATATAGCCATTTGAGAATGGACTACCTAAGTCTGACGTCACCATGGCCTGGGGTTTTTAAAACCTTTCTAAGTATTTCTAATTTCTGTGTATTTGTCCTATAAGAAGTAGGAAATATTGGTTTTTTTAATTGCTTGAATAATAAATAAGGATTTTTATTTATAAACATTCATTCTGTGCGACTGGTATTATTTGTTGTTTGTGACTTTGTGAGGTAAGAATATCAAAGTATTAAGATATTTACTGTAAATGTTCATATTTTAAGGTTATGTTATTGCTTAATTAAAACTTTAATTATTCTTTTAGTGTATTTCAAGGTATTTTGTTTTTTTTTTATTCGGGTTATTTGAAAATAAATCATTGAATCTATTTACGAAGTTGAAAAATATTTATAGTTATACTTGATTATTTTTTCGTTGGAAGTGATTTTATCCTGTAAACGACTAAAGATATTCGTTTTCTCGTAGTTTAAGTTGTAATATAACATTCTTTGGAAACCTTTTTATCAAATTGCTACAATAACTGTTAAAAAAATGTTTTTTGGAGGTTGTAATAGTTTTTGATTTTATTTTTTAGATCTGGGCATATAATAGGTAGTAAACGTGTGTTGAAGATATCCAGTATTACTGATTTTTTTAGTATTGACAATAAAACTACTATTAACTACTTAAATTACGAGAAAACGAATATATTTAATCTTATAAGGAGATAAAATCGCTAGCACTTAAAACATAATAAAACATTAACTTAAATACTTTTTAACTTCGTAAATAAATTCAATGGTTTATTGATTAATTTTAAAATAACCCCGAACATCCATAGTAAATATCTTAATTAATTTGATATTCTTACCTTATAAATTCACGAACAATAAATATTACCAATCGCACAGAATGAATGTTTCTAACCAAAAGTCCTTATTTATTCTTCAAACAATTAAAAATCAGTATTTCCAACTTCTTATGAGGCAAATACACACACATTAGAAATGTTTGGAAAGGATTTTGAAATCCCCGCCCATTGTGACGTCAGAGGTAGTCTTAGGTAGTCCATAGCAGGACGGACCAGCGGATGCAATTAATAATATGTTACGCAATTTTAAAATCATTAAAAAAACAGCATATATAAGGCCGATAGCGCTCCCCCCGGACGGTTAATTAAGTCCTGCATTATTTGGTCGAGCTTATTATCTTAATTATGGGGTTTGTTAGTTGATCTAGCCGTTTTCTTATTTTTTTCGAATAATCCTTTCTCTTCTTTTTTAGTTCTCTTCCTATTACATTAAAATGTGTAGTCGTCCAAATCCATTTGTATTTATCGACTATTTTTACCGTGTGTAACGAATTTGACAACTTACTTAGCGCAACTAGCGTGTACCATTTACTCCCGTTGCTTTATTGTCCAACCGTGATTTTGTAACTGTTTGGATTGCAAAAAAATGCCAAGCGGGCTTCAACAGCTCAGAAAATCGAGAGATTATCAATCTTAGCATTGATTATAAACCACTACCTAGATAGCTCACCTCGTGGTAACCGAAAGACGTATCAAAAACTAGATGGCGTTACTCGAAAACCGTATCGAGATTCTCATTCTCTCTCTGACTTGCGAAGAGATAGGAGTGGTGTCAGGGCCGAACTTACCCTATAAGTGTATTATCTGTGTCTAGTGTTGTGACAAGTTATAGCTAAATTTTATTAAAAAAAAGGAATCACATTTTAGATAAAATGGCCTGTGTAACGCATAAATGTGTTTACGCGGGATGTTTTGAAAAAAAAACGATGGAACAAATAATAATATATCTTTCTTTAAATTTCCTCTGAAAGACGTAAAGCGCACAAAAATTTGGCAAAAAAACTGCGGGAACAACGACAACGACAACGACACCCGATTTGGGAGTCGAAACGTTAATAAAATGATTTTTTTAGTAAAATTGTGGCTTATTTCCCATCAAAACTAGATAAGATCTCGATTAACAAACATTTGTTTCATTGTTATAAACGCTTGTCTTGCAATTTCAATACGTGTCCTGATTTCTCTAATAAATACCTTAGTCATTGTTTTTATTGTATTATTATAATGATCTGTAAGTTTGATTTGTTCAAAGGGCTTATTTTTTAACATTTTTTCTTTAATTTTGAAAAAAATGTTTTTTTTCAAAACAACTTAAAATTATTAGTGACACCAAAAATCACAAAGAGTAAAAAAATGTAGGTTTTGCTTTTCTGAATATTTTGGTCATAACTTGCTTACTATTTATGCAAGAAACTTAACAAAAATAAACCTTTTTTAAACACTTTAAAAAAAAGTTGTAATGAGTTTTCGTCGAAAAGTGCTTTAGTTTTTTATTATTTCACGTTGAAATATTCAACATGGAATTTGACGAATAAGAACCTATTTTTTAATAACTCGAAAAGTATTGACTTAGTAAAAAAACTCTATAGAACCTAAGTTGCTTAGAATTACTGATTTTAGGCACTTCCAAACTTATCTTGAACATATATTTTTTCACTCCCGATAAGAGGTGATACTAATCCATAGGGCAAAAGCATAATCTATTTTTCTTTGACATCTTAGTTAGGCGCAAGCCAAATTTTATGTCAACCTAAGCGATTTTTTAAAATTGTGATTTTTTGCAATATTTTACCGTGAGTGAATGGACTAAATCTGGAAATAAATTCTGTATATATAGCTTGAAATATTTTAGTTTGCATCAATTCTGGAAATTAATTTGTTTGAAAAGTTACAAAAAAGTAATTTACATGAGATATAATTTATCACTGTAATTTTATTATGTATTTTTATTTTGTTATTTTTTTGTATTGGGTTGATAAATAAATAATTTTTAGAAAACCTTTACTGTTTTTATTAATCAATTTTTAGCGTTTTTTCTGAATTCTGAAGCAAAATCGGAATTTTATAATATAGATTACAAGCACGTTAAAATTATTTGTGAAAATGCTGAGTGCCACCCTTATATCGTCGTTTATTACACTAGAGAATTGGCGGAGCATGGAACTTAAATTTATTTTTCAATCTTGGCAAATATTTCAATGAATGTCTACCATACAGTTACGTAGTACTTAGGCGTGAGGGGCAAAGAGGTGTACGTGGGCGGAGTTTAACACTGAATTCGTTTTTACCTTAGAGTGAGCTATCTAGGTAGTGGTTTATAATCAATGATCTTAGCTAGATCTAGTTCTTTCTGGTTAAGGTTCGATGTAGACATGATCATTTTACTCCTAGTTGATTATAAAAGATTTTCTCCAATACTTTCTCAAGTAACGATAGAAGTATAGATCAACCCCAAACGGTTAAATTTGTTTCTGAATCGTCTATGTTAATTTATTCTAATTGTGCCATTTAAATTAAAGATCCATACCTCATAAATTCGTTTAACAAATTTAACAGAAAACAATAAGATGTACAAAAAACTACTATTTGAAAAAAAAAAAACAATACACTTGTTTTTGTATTTTTTCCTCTATCAGGAACTCTATCAGAAAAAAAGGTATGAATTTTATTCATTACTTTTGGGCCATCTTATAATATGATATATACAAAATACGTAGGAGTTTATGTGTTTAATTTTTATAATATTGATTTCGTCTGTAGGCTGCTACTACTACAGCTACAGCTACATGTCCAACTGGAACTACGGCCTGTTTTGGTACAAATACAGCTTGTGGAACAAGATTTGTTACTGCAAATACTTCCGCTTCTGGCACCGCGACTTATGGAGCATTTCCATGGCAGGCTTACCTCAGAAATACTACAAACGCTTATTCAGGCAGCGGAGTGCTTGTTAGTCCTTATTATGTGATTACAGCAGCACATAAAGTTTATTTAAATGTGTAAGTATAATCTTGAATTAAGTCGCACCTTCCCCTCTATTGAGATTGACTACCAGTATGACAAAGTGTTGTCTATAAAGGACTTAGTGCATGACAGCGTTTTTTTAATGCTTCATAAGTTTTATTTACTCTTCTGATTTAAATTTCATTTATTCGGATTAAGGAATATGCAAACTAAAGAAATATAGTTAAATATGTAACAAAAGTGTCTATTTGTATAACTAGTTCGTTTTTTGCGTTTCAAACGTTAATCAAACAAGAAAAAATAAGTTCAGAGTTACAAAAATTAGCCCAATATATATTACCCAAGCGCCAAATCGGTTACGAATACAGATTTTGGGCTGCCATCATCCAGTTCCCAGCAATTGACATCTGGAGCATTTACATGGTAGGCTTACCTCAGAAATAATACAAACGCTTATGCAGGCAGCGTAGTGCTTGTTAGTCCTTATTATGTGATTACAGCAGCACATAAAGTTTATTTAAATGTGTAAGTTTAATCTTGAATTAAGCCGCACCTTCTCCTCTATTGAGATTGACTACCAGTATGGCAAAGTATTGTCTATTACGTACTTGGTGGATGAGAGCGCTTCCTTTAGTTCTTGTCTAGTTTCTTATATTCCCTAGCCAAGATTTTTTCTTTTTAATATACCACGGTTTCCCTCAATACTTAGTTGTAGTCTTGTTGTATTTCTTGTTGTAAAGAAAAGTTAATAAGTGAAATAATTGAAAGTAAATTTTTAACATAAAATTCAATATTAAACATAAAAATATTATGGGTTACCTTCAGCAACATTAATTACAGTTTAACAGTTTCTTGCCATACTTAAAATTAAATTATCAATTTCATGTTGAAGCAACAGGATTCACTCTTGCTTAAGAATATCTTAAAGACCTTGTCTAGTATAAACATTGTGCAGATGAGGAGCAATCTCTCTTTGAAGCATATAAAAAATACCGCTTCAACTACACAACAATGAAGAAATTAAATAAAGATATGCATCGGTCAATCCGAAAAGACATAAGAGAAAACAATACAAGAGGAATAACTTAAATAATTCAAGAAAACAAAAGATTGAAAGTTTTGAGGCGAAAAACATAGGCAACAAAAATGTGTACAAAATAAAAACAAAGAAAACATTTCTACTGATAGAACCCAAAATCCTTGAGGTTGTCGAATCCTTATTTCAGCTCACAAATTGTAAGCACACTTATTGCTGCACATGTTCTTATGCCCACCTTAATCTGAGTAAACGATTTCTATGACGTAACATGAGAACCCCCAGTGGACGTCTGGCGTGCAAGTCAATTTCATGTTATCTATTCCTGAAAGTTTGTTGTTTGTTCCTTGAATGTTGTTTAAGTTTAAATTATATTCTGAAGAAATTTTCCAAAACACGCTCAATAATATCGAAGCGGGAGTCACCGTTAACGGAAAATTAATTAACAACTTAAGATATGCAGACAAAATTAACTGTGAACATAGCAACGAGTATAGAGGATCTACAACATCTTATCGAAAGCTTGAGTATCAATAGTGCTGAGATGGGAATTACTATAAACGCTAAAAAAACGAAGTACATGCTCACTACATAAAGACCACAAAATATAAATCACCTATTGACAATCAATGGTAACATGATAGAACAAGTAGAAAAATATCAGTATTTGGGAACTTTGATCAATGAAACCAATAATTATACTGTAGAAATAAACAGGCGAATAGAGATTGCCAGATCAGCATTTATACGACTGAAGTCACTCCTAACGTGCAAAAATCTAAATTTGGAGATCAGACTACGTACCATTCGCTGTTACATATTTTCAATATTATTATATGGAGCTGAGACTTGGACGTTAAAAAAATGTAGTTTAAAAAGAATCAATACCTTCGAACTCTGGTTATACCGCGGAGTATATAGTTATACAGAGTATTGAAAATATCATAGACTGATAGAATTACAAATAAAGAAGTACTGGAGAGGGTTGGTAAAGAAACAGAACTAATCACCACTACCTATACAAACCAGAAAACTGGAATACCTAGGCCACGTGATGAGGAGATCAAAACATGAAATTTTTAGACTCACAATACAGGTCAAGGTTCAAGGAAGAAGATCTGTTGGCCGAAGGCAGAACTCATGTTTTAACAATCTAGGAACTCTCTTTCCGTAGGGAGACGGCACTCTAAGAAGAAGTAATGTTGTAGGTATTTTCTAAGGCTCTATATGAGAATAGTTCATTTGCAGTTATGTACACCATTCGACGAGCTGATCCTACCACATACCGACCCTGTCGAGTAGTTGCGCATTGACAAGCTCTTTGTCTTTCAGCCACATTACCAAATTGTTCATATCGACGCTACAATCGTGAAATCACTCTCTGAGACACGTCAAAATGACGTACAACATCAGCTTGTAAAAGACCAGCCTGAATCTAGTCAGAGCACTTACCATTTTAAAATGTGTACAGCTTTAGACTATCTTTGAAATTTGAAGCACTATTTCTTTAAAATTTAAAGCACTTAATCGTTCAAATTTGAGGCGCTGTCATTTTGCCTTAATAAAACACTGTAATTGACAGATTAACTTACATGCCAAAACTTGATTTGTAGATAACAACTTTTAAAATCGATTGGTATGTAGTAACAAGAAAGTTTTCAAGTTTTTATTGAAAAAAGTTGAATAATAATAGTTTCGTTCGCGGAGATATTCCCTGACTGGTTTCTGACTGATTCTCATGCTCACTTCTAAGAGTACAGATTTTTGGAAACTGTAAATTGTCAGATTTTTTGTTTATTTATTGTTTGGTCAATCCTTAATACTAACTAACCTATTATTTATTTTTGTTGAGACGTGGCAATAGCATCTTTATGTTCTACATCTTTAAATAAATATAGCTAAAACTTTCATCTTTCTAGCGATATAAATAAATAAGATTAATAGTAAGTAATATCCACAAGGAAAAATTCCTGTAGCTGGCTGTATACCACGTATAACAAAAAGAGGTTAATCTTTGTAAATGGGTATATTTATTTAAAAAACCCTTAAAAGGGCCACATCAATAAAACAAAGGTTTTCGGACCACACAGTCCATCATCAGGTTTTTAAAATCGAAAAATGCCTAAAAATAAGTATAAACCATTTAGTTAAAACAAACGAGATTGTGAAATTTTGACTATGGTTGAAAAGCAAAAGATGGTTATACTTACTAGGTCACAATGCCTGAGCCACCAAAATACTAGGGTAAAAACCCTTTAAATTACATTTAGTTATGAAATATTGTACATTTTGTTGTAAAATAACTGTGATGTTCAGTATTAAATTAGACTATAGGTAACACATGGCTCAATCTGGTTCCAGAGCCGGTGAGAGGAATCCTCTGCACTCGGAGAACAGCGTGGAACTGATTGACAAGATACTTTTGAAGGATGAAGATAACACAATGTCAATGTAACAAAAACTATAATAGTTGTACATAGTATTACTACAGCCAAAAGATTCAACAAGTTTTGATGATTTTAAAAAAATAACAACAATCTAGGTGTTGGGATTTAAAAACTTTTTTATTTATTAATTTAGGGTATAAAAGATGTCAAATCAATGATGGTTTTATAGTCATGATTAATAGATTGACCTGTGCCTTAGGCAACTTATGTTGCTTTTCGTCGTATGGAATGTGGTCTAAAGTGTATTTAATATTGGGTTAGCTTATATATATGAAATTTATCCTTCTATGTTTAACACATCTAGGACAAGGTAAAAATTAAATATCAAATATTTAAAGCTAATATCAGACCTCATATTTAAATGACTTTATTTAAGACTGCTCCTATGGTGAAAAATTAATAAAATTAAGTTTAGTAAGATGGAAATCTACAGGCTGAAGAAATTGAAGTAGTAACATATGTGATTGAATTTAAAATTGAAGAGGCTGGGTTCCTCAGAGACTAATGAGAATAAAAGTAAAGGAAATGACTGAAGAAATGGAAGGGGGGGGGGCGATTGAAGGAGAAAAGGAGTTGATCAACAATTAGAGATAATAGGGGTCTTTTATACTTAAAGTATCTAGCACCCTGAACAAAATCTATTTTGGTGGTATTAAATTCAGTTTGTAGAAACCTGAAATTTGTTGTATAAGTGTGCTGCTAAGTTGTTGACCGAAAGAAGGTGGACAAAGGTAGATTAGGATTCTTTGTAATATGGCAGATTATGAATTTTAATAAATTGTTAGATAATGTTTGAGTGATTACTAAATTAAAACTGTTGGATACATGTTTAATATATGAAATGACCAAGAAATAATGAAAGAGAACAGAATTGACAGGATTGCGATGTAGAAGTGAAGAGTGAATGAGATAGTGATATGTTGGTATGATGGATGTGGATGGTTCTGAAGTTAAAATTGGGGTCAGAAATTTGTGAGAGGAAGGTGTGGCGATATTGTAGAAAATGGGTGTTTGAAGAAACACAAGATTGTGTAGGATTAAGGTATTGACGTTTGTATAGGAAAATAAGGCAGAGAAAGTAGGGCAGTATTGTGAAGTATGAACTATGAAAAAAGTTGACGATGTAAAGGTTGAAAGTCACGGTTGAAAGATACATGGCGATTAACACAATTGGGGCTATTTTGTACAATACAAAATAGGTGTGTTTTTTGCACAAAACAAAATAGATTTTGTTCAGGGTGCTAGATACTTTAAGTATAAAGGACCCCTATTATCTCTAATTGTTGATCAACACCTTTTCTCCTTCAATCGCCCCCCCCCCTTCATTTCTTCAGTCATTTCCTTTACTTTTATTCTCATTAGTCTCTGAGGAACCCAGCCTCTTCAATTTTAAATTCAATCACATATGTTACTACTTCAATTTCTTCAGCCTGTAGATTTCCATCTTACTAAACTTAATTTTATTAATTTTTCACCATAGGAGCAGTCTTAAATAAAGTCATTTAAATATGAGGTCTGATATTAGCTTTAAATATTTGTTATTTAATTTTTA